GTTAAGAATTCCAAAATCAGTAACTTCAGCATGGATTGGAGGACCAGCACTCGTGTTCCCACTATTGAAACACAGAACCAAAAATTCAGCACTAACTTCACTCCTCTCCAGAAAAACAAAACCAATCCTTGCTTTCTTTTTAAAAAAATGTTTTTAACAAGAGGCTCTAGCTACCTCTCAGGTAACAAAAGGATATGCAGATTAGCACATACATAGGTTTTTCTCTTGCTTGTAACCAAACAAGGGATAACTGTCACCAGCTTCCTCACTGCTATTTGTTCCTCACAGTGACAACGCACTGCCACTGATAAGTATTCAGCCACAGCATGTCTGCTCTGAAAAACAAAGCTGCTCTCCCACCTCCACTGTAACTGATTTCAGGAGGTTTACACCTCCGTCTAAACATCTGTGGATACAATTCCACCCCCACACGCTCACACTCCATGTTTGCAAATGAAACAACTTGGGCTGAAGCACAACACGGTCCTGCAGTGAATCCAAGTCCCTAGACTTTATGCCCGATATACACTGTGGAATTTCCACCCTGCACACAAAATTATTCATGACAGAAACACGGAAGGACCACCTTCCCCCTCCCTCTGTGTGAATACCAATGAGAAAAATAGCAAGAGGGTTTCTTTCCTTCCCTGATCACAGAGAGAGAAAAGGAAATTTAAGAACAGCATATATGCAGAAGGGAGGGGAGAGTCACTGCAAAATGCTGAAGACCAGGGGTGTGAGCACTACTTATATTAACATCTTCCATCCCTGGAGCTGCAGTAATTTGCATGACATTATCTACCTGGGATGTTGCTATGGTTATCACCATACATAAGTAATTACCAGGGCAAATTGCACATACGGCGCACAGATTCCTGCTGTCAGAAGCAAAGGATTTTTTTATACTCTTGAAAAATGTAAATGTTTGGGAAAAAAAAACACTAACAACAATTCCTGATAAGAGGAAAAGTTTAAGACTTCTCCCAAATGGTCTAAAATGATCGTTAACCATGCTTATTGGCAACAGTACCTTGAGGCACAGCTCAGATTATCCCTAAGTGAGATGGACACTGCACAGACTCAGTAGAAAAAGTCAACAGTGCTCATAAAAAATAGTAGAAATGGTAACCAGAAGCAGCAATAGTAACAGCACTGGTAACCAGAAATTAATCAGTAGAAATACTAGAAAATCCTTGCCTGAAGAGTTTACTAGTGCAATTAGATGAGACCAGTAGAGGACAATAGAAGTAGGATATCCCACAGAACAAACGAGGTTGCCAGCATCGTGGCATTGCCATGATCAATTTGGGTAGATGTCACCTAATTCCAGATCATACAAAATAAACCAGGCATCAGCTCATTCAGAAATACTGCTGCAATTACATTGCCAGTAAAATACAGCACTGCTGTATGCAGTCTCTTGGTGCCAATGGAAAATTTTCAGCAGCATCGATGAGTGTGCTCTGTGGCCTTTGGAAAGTAAAAAGTTTTAACAAACAGTTCTGCTGCTGTGATCTGAGTTCATGCAAAGCACATTAGGCTAACTGGGATGTAAAGCACGGATCTGTAAAACACAAAATAAGTTTCTCTAATTTAATCTGAGGTGACACACATCGTTGAGTCGTATCTATCCAAACCAATCACATGTTCTGTGTACAGAGGAATACCATAATTTAGTTACTATGAATTCACAGGGAGCAGTGGAGTTGAGGAAAAAAAAAAATAATTGTATTTTCATTTTCTAGCTTCTCAGAAAAACACGTTCTTCTTTTGCTTGCCTTAGAAAAAGCATATTTCTCCCAGACATTTATCTTCATCTCCTATTAATATTAGTAGAATTGTCATCAAAAAATTACCATGCTCTCCAACTGAGCTACAGATTAAACTTTTCAGAGTTGAAATAATCTCTGCTCCTGGATCTAGCCTCTCACAGCTCTCAGTAGGAAACTGGGCATCCTACCACCCCAGCCCTGTCAATGGCAGTACTTCCCCACACTCACCCACAGAAAGTTAAGCTTATTTGTGTTCCAGATTCCAGCCCCAGCATGCCATCATTCCCTAATAACAAAGTGCCACCATGAATGCCTGGACTGCTGGGTTAAATCCACTGTCTCCTTTCGTCAGGCTGCCTCAGGGGACGGTCAACCACAGCCACACAGGATGCTGAGATGTGTCTGATCAGATGCTAAGAAAACCACTAACTGTTTCAGAACTTCAACCTATTTACTTTGGGATCTCCAAGTAAATGGGGCTAAGTACCATCAGGCACTACATACGAGCAGGAAATAAACTGATTTTGCAAGGGCAGAAGTAAAAGGTATCAGCTCTGGGAATCAGCCAGGATGAGAGTGTCTTTGCATGACTGTTAGCAGAGCTACACAGGCCACAAAAAATTAGATCAGGTAGAAGATTTGAAGCAGTTTTGGAGACTGGCTCTTTAACTGAAGATGTGTTTGCACTCTATGAGCTATTAGGTACTCCATCACTCTTACTTCTATCAGTCTTTAGGCTTGAGTTGGATTCTAGTTTTAGTGCAGACTTTAAATGTCAGTAGGAATATACAGTGCTCTTTTCTTTGAAAGCTACATTCTGATGCCATCAAGTATAATGACTGTTTTACTAGGCAAGAATCAAAAACTATATGTAGAGATGATGTGCTTTGAGAAGAGGATTGCAACTGAAAGCATAGGAACAGGTATTAGCCAGCAGGCAGACAGAAAACATGGCATGCCCTTGGGCTCATCACATGGCCTGAGGAAAGGCACTACTAGCAATGCCCAGAAATACTGACCAAAGATATCAGCATGCCCTTATCAGGGCAAATGCAGACTGAAGATAGGATATAGAACAAGTCATCTTTGTCTTATCTGAGTAAATGGACCCATAGGACACACACACTGTGGCTCCGAGTACAATTCAACAGTTTGTTGAAAGTGAATATATCAGTGAAAGTAAATATGTGAAGAGTGAAATGTAAGATGGAAAAAGTGAGATAAATATTGTTAGATTCAGGGGAAAAGTGTTATAAACAGCAAGCTAAGCTCTTTGATTTGCACTGCTTTCCAGCCCATAAAACCCTAATATCTGCCAGTGTTTCATTAAAAGCTTATAAACTACCCAGCATGCCTGCTGCTGCATAAATAAATTGCTAAAAACACATTTTCAGTGTTGCAGACCTTGTATGCAAAGAAACCCAACGTGCATAAAACTCAGCCACGTGACTGGAAGTAGCGTGGATCACAAAAGTAACCCCTTACACTCTAACCATAATTAAAGTTGATCATTCAGTAGTGGTCAGTTTCTCTGAGCAGACATGCTCATAGTGACACTTTTAACACAGAAAATGCCAGTATCCCAGGGAGAATTACTCAAAAAAAAAGTGTTACAACTTAAGACTGCAAAAGAAAGCTTCTACCATGTTGTGAATCATGTAAAATTAACAGAAGGAACAACTTTTCAAAGAGGACTGAGAGTTTCAGGTGTTTGATGATGTCATGATAGCCCTACAGCAAAATCAAAGTTAAACTGAGCAGTACAAACACCTGGGAACAGCGAGGCTAAGAGGATCTGTATAATCAATGAATTTTAAGAGGCTATAATTATAAAATAAACAAGAGAGTTTGGCAAAGCAGATAACAATAACAAAAAGAGAATAGACAGAAAGCTTACCCCTATCCTGGGCTCACTCACAAAACTCCAACAGAGCAGATCTCCAGAAGTGACCCTACCCCACTGGTAGCCAGCTCTTCAATAGGTCTAGGAGCACATTGCCTTCACCTGTGCTCCTCAGGCTGACTCATGGCTCGCCTCAGGTGGTCAATCAGAGGTACAGGCTGTGACAGCAGCAAGACACACCTGCTACCTTTGCAGGTGGCTTACCTCTTGACCAGCACCACGCGGATCAAGAAGGTAAAAATTCAGTACCTCAAGGACAGAATTGCTGGAAGATTGGAAAGGGGAGCCACATCTGAATCACTGCACAAGTCTGAAATTCCAGAAGATGTTAATGACGACTATTTGTTTTCCTTGCACCAAGCAAATACCTGTTAAACAATACACATGTTGCATCTTGCTGGCTTTATAAACCCAAACAGTTTCAGTTACTCCAGCGCAAAGCCTCTGCTTGTACAATCTTGAGCCACTCAACTGTAATTTAAGGAAAAAGCTATTTATTTTTCTATTTTTATTTTTGTAATGCTGAATGATGAGCAGTTTTCAGGATCCCAAGTTTGTTTCAGTTACAGGGGTGGTGGCACTGGTATGATTAGTATCTTCTAGGGCAGTGCTGGCAACCTTGTTTCTTCTACTACATGTTGTTGGGGTATTAATTCGGTGTTACATGAAGTTACAAGTTATGCTTGTTTGCTTACTTTACTGTTGCTTGTCTCAAAAAGCAAATTATCCTATTTTTGTTCTTTCCAAACCACTGTAGGGATGACAGCAGGACCCACAAGCCTAACACATGGGATGGCCAGACTGTACAGACTGAGAAACAGAAAGGAGAGGGGCTTTAACATTTAAGCGAGCTGCTGCTTTGTACCGGCTCGTTCGTGTATCAAGAGAGCAAGCTGAGAACACGCTGTGACTTCTCTAATTTGCTTCCCCGAGTTCTCTCGGCGAACTTTAAAGCAGGAAAAAAGATAAGGCAACCACCGGCCGCTTCCCAAGCGTAAAAGCAAGGGCAAACTTCGGTGAGCCCGCTGCAGCTGTCAGGCAGGCACAGGTGGGCAAGGAGCAGGGGACAGACCCCCGAGCTTAGCAGGACCAGCCCCGCGGCCTCGGTCCCGGAGGAAGGACGGCGGACCGCCCCGAGCCCCGCCGCTCCGCCCGTACCGCCCTGTAGACGTGGCGCCGCCGGGCCGGGCCGCGCTGGCGGGCGGCCGCTGCCCAATCGCGAGCGGCGAAGCGGCGGGGGAGGAGCGGGGCCGGGCGCGATGAGCGGCGGCGGGCCGTGGCGCGGTGCTGGCAGCGGGACGGAGGGCGCCCGGCGCCCGCGAGGAATGGCCGGCGGGGGGCGGCGGTGCCCAGCGGCGCTGCTGCTGGCGCTGGCGCTGCTGGCGCTGCCGGGCGGGCTGGGCAAGCCGACGGCGTGGCAGGAGCGGGCGCGGCCCGGAGCGGCGCAGCAGCACGAGGACGCGCCGGGATTCCGGTACGACCACGAGGCCTTCCTGGGCAAGGAGGAGGCACGGAGCTTCGACCAGCTCAGCCCGGAGGAGAGTCAGGAGCGGCTGGGGTGAGCGGCGGCCCGGGAGGCGGAAGCGGGGCGGGGGGGAGGGGGCGGCGCGCGGGGCTGCTGCGTAAAGAAGCGCGGAACGGCTGCCTCGCTTCTGTATCCCTTCTCTCCCTTCGCTCTGCCGTTCCCGTGAATCAAGCTGAAGCCGTTTCTTCTCTTGCCTTCATCACAATTCTTCTATTTCCCAGGCCGCCGTTAAACAAGCTCCCTGCAACTTCTCTGCGCGGGACAGTTTGCTCCGTCTTGTTCTTACTTCCATGCATCAGTTGCCTTAATTTACTGCTTCTCTGTCCTTTCTGTGAGAAGGCACGTTGCTAATTAGAACAAAGTTTCACAGTAGTTATAAAAAGATCTTTGCAATCAGTAATCAGAGAATAGTCAAAAAAATAGTCAAGTTCTGTACTGTGAGAGTGGTGAGGTGCTGGAGCAGCTGCCCAGAGAGGCTGTGGATGCCCCATCCATCCCTGGAGGTGTTCAAGGCCAGGTTGATCCCTGGGCAGCCTGGGCTGGTAGAAAACGTGGAGGTTGATGGCCCTGCGTGTGGCAGGGAGGTTGGAGATCCATGATCCCTGAGGTCCCTTCCAGCCTTGGCCATCCTGTGATTCTGAGAAAATGTCTGTACGTTCTCACTAAGAGGAGCTGTGCCCTTCCACAGGGAATGGTACTGAAGCATGGTTTGTCTGTCTGATGCCACCATAATGGTGCTGTTGGCTCAGCGTAACCTCCTGCTCCTTGTGCAAGCTGTCAGCTATTGACCTGCATCTCAGTAAGCAAAGCCATGAAGCACAAATGACCAGTTTAATCCAGATTGTTTGAAAAGCGAGCAAAAGAAACCATCTCAGCATACACATTCGTGACTTACATAGAGCGTGTCACTAAACAAGGGCATGGGTTACTTAAATTAGGCCTTCATTTTTCCAGCTGGGGGTGTGAACCATGTGCAAGTGGTGAATGTTCACAGGACTCACCCCAGCCTAGCATCGATCTGCTGGAAAGCCGTAGAAGGAACTGCAGGGGTCCATAAAACCCAACGCTTTTGTCCTTGTGGCCTCTGCTAAGATACATGCTTGTATTGTAGTTGTTTTCCTAGTCTAAGTCCATCGTAGCCTCTGCTTGCAGCCTGTGAGCAGGTCCCCCCCAAGTCAGTAGACACAATCTACAAGCCATCCGAGATGGTTTGTTCAGTAACTTTGAGAGCGCAGGTTCCATTTTGATTATTCATAGCAATATTGAATAATGAATAGAGAAACGGTAAGATAATCTTCAAAACGCAAGAAAGCCTCCGTCAGTGGGACAGCTTTCTGCATTTTGGGCATTACATTTTAGAGGAAAATCAGGACCAGGTAACAATAATGAAGTTGGACTGACACCTGGTTTGTTTTTCTGCCCACCCTTAACGGATACCGCTCTCTTTTTACAGGAAGATTGTGGATAGAATAGATGAAAACAAAGATGGCTATCTCACAACAGAGGAGCTGAAAAACTGGATTAAACGGGTGCAGAAACGCTACATCTATGAAAACGTCGCTAAGGTTTGGAAAGACTATGATACAAACAAGGACAATAAAATCACCTGGGAAGAGTACAAACAAGCTACCTACGGTTATTATCTAGGTGAGACACCATCAGATTATATGCTCAATGACAGCTGAGGTTATGAGGCACCTGTAGCCAACCTGACTCTGGTATCACAGTCAGGGCTTTGGGAAATTGCCTAAAGATGCTCAGAGGTTGAAAGCTTCTTGTGTCTTTATTGTGGCCATTTCCATGTGGATCACCACTACAGAGAATGGTTCGTGGAGGGCTTTATTGAGTGTACTGACAAAGCTGAATTGAAGTCTCCTGACTCCAGTTAGAAATGTGTTATTTTTTAACATTAAAAATGGTGCTTACATTCAAAAACACAATTAAGGAATGTTTGTTAATTGAATCTCACTTAAATTTGTGAGAGTGTAAATGGTAAAAACTTTGGCTGGGTATAAGCTATAAATATACATATAGCTTATCTTTGCTATAACAGTGCTGAGAGAACAACAAATGGATATTAATTGGCCATGGGTGCATTTATACTGGAAATGAGAAGACAGTGTCTTAACGCCATATATGCAGTTTCTGGAGCAATAGCAAGCAATCATAAGTAGAAGGTTTGATTGCTTTTTCAAACCAAGGAGTTGTGTACATCGTACTGATTCCTAAAAGGAATAAAACTTCTGTAAATGAAATCTACTCTGAATACTTCGTAAGCAAAACTTATGAAAGCAGATTAAAAAAATTCATCTGCCAAGTATACTATGTGATGCTGCAAAAGCAGGCTGGATGTGGCTCTGGGCAGCCTGAACTAGTGGCTGGTAACCCTGCCCATGGCAGGGGGGTTGAAACTAGGTGATCATCATTGTCCTTTTCAATGCAGGCTATTCTGTGATTCTGTGAAAAGCCTGGATTCCAAGAGGAGACTTACTTGGCCATTAACCTATACTATTAAGTCACCTATAAAATGGAGGAGTTTGACCCTACAGTTCCCTAGGAAAGAGAAATTCCAGTTTAACACAGCAGCTGTTCTAGCAATAAGCCTTTGTATTTCTAGACTCAGTGTATATATCAGTAAATTAGGAGAATTTGTTGTTCCTTGTGAAATGCACTATCACGTAATTTTGTGATTGTCTTGATTAATTGGCAGAAAAACCAGAAGAATTCCAAGATGCAACAGATCGGCACAGTTTTAAAAAAATGCTGCCCAGAGACGAAAGGCGATTCAAAACTGCAGATCTGGATGGAGACTCAGCTGCCACTCGTGAAGAATTCACTGCTTTCCTTCACCCAGAGGAATTTGAGCACATGAAAAACATCGTTGTCTTAGTAAGCAGTGCAAAACCAATGACGCTATTTTTACTTCGCTTAATGGCCAACTGGGGGACTGAAAGGGATAAATTCTTGAAATTCACTTGATTTAGAGCTTTCAGTACAAGGAAGACCGAACAAGAGCACTTAGACTGCTCTTAAATTGAAACCATTTTGGTATGGATGTGTACCAAAATAAAGGAAAAAGTATGCTGATGTGAGGCTGTCAAAAACAAAGTGTTCGATACCGACTTGTAATTGCACTTAGCTTAAAACATCAGCGTGATGTCCAGGTCAGGGCTGGAGTGCAGAATGACTTGAGGAGGGGAATAGCCAGAATTCTGTTTTCTCTTGATTACTTCAGTGCAAAACTATTTTCCAGGAAACGTTAGAAGACATAGACAAAAATGAGGATGGCTTTGTGGATCAGGATGAGTACATTGGTAAGACTTGAAGTTTGTTTCTTACAAAGTGTCCATTTGTCCCTCTTCTCTCAAAGCTGCAACAAAGAGGAATGTTTCTGTGCTCCCAAGTTGCCTGTTTTTACTAAGTAGTCTAGATTATTCAGGAGGTAAACCCACCTAGTTCTAAAAGGATTTTTTGCAGCAATGTCTTTGTTTCTCCTAGAAATACAAGACGTTGCATTAAGAATGAACCTTAGAGAAGTGAGATTCAGGGTTCTCAAAAAACTGTGATGTGAAAAACAACTCTGCGTTACTTAAGTGACAGAGAACAGAATTGGAAACATTAACAGCAGATCAGTCACCGTTAATTTACACAAACTTGAGTCACTCTGTGCAGTTAGCTGCTGTCTTGTGCTTAGACATGAAAACAGAATGGACTAGAGATCAGCTATACATAACACCTTGTACCCTTTTGAATAATTCTGCTGATTCCAAAAGCTAACCTCTCCCTTTTCACTCACTTTGATGGGTTTTAAATCAAGGAAGTAGTACCAGGAAAGCTATAAAGATCACTTCTCATGTAATCAGGAACAGTATACACATGTTAATTAATGGCAGGGGGTTTCTTTGCCTTGTAAATTATATTTAGCCTCAGAATGTGAGTGCTATTCATTTATGACTGAAATAACAGGGCAGCATAATTTCCACAGTAATTTCAGTTCATTCAGTGACATTACCTACATATAATTATAAGGTAATTGTCAACATTTGTTACCATTGCAAATGCTGTTTTTTTCTGTCTCTAGGATAGAAAGCATAGAATGTTCTAGTCACAATCACCCCACATTGGCAAGGATGATAAAAATCAAATTGACAGGACGTCAGGCGCTTCGAATAAACAATATAATTTGCTCTTTAAAAATGTGAAAGTGAATGTGTTGTCTGAAGTTTTCTTTATGAGTTGAGGAAAATTGTTTAAAATATTCCTACATCCCTTTTTCAGATACAATTCCATTTTGGTTTTGATCAAGCTGGGGTTAAAAAACAGCCAAATCACTTCTTTGACTAGGAACAATAAAAAAGCCCACAGAATGCAGTCTCTGGATCAGGTATTTGATGGGGAAACCTGCTGAAGGTTGCGGAGCAATTCCTCCCTCTTCCCTCCTTCCTTCTTGCCTCTTGTTTTGACTTTTACAAAATTAGTTTTAGATTTTATAAAAGCAGCAAAGCAGAATATCTCTAGTCACGTAAAGCACAGAGGACTGAATTGTCACCCTGCATGAACAGGTACTGAGTCTTTCAGGGATATTTTGAACAGTTCTACCAATAGAGAGGCCTCAGCCTAGTGTATATGCTTCCACTGTGGGGTAAGGGGAGACTATTCTTACATTTCAGGTCAGCATTTACATATACAAATGCCAGTGAGCCTGACCTTAAGACCAACCCTGCGGGATGCACATTTTCCATACCGTACCCCTGAAAACCAAATGCCACAAGTCACAGTAGTATTATCTACAGAGCAAGCTTCAATAGAAAAATCAAAGGCTTGAGAAATAAGCACCCCAAATGAGCAGGCACCAATTGATTGGCCACAGAGACCAGAAGGATAAAGCAAACACACCTGTGCTTCCTGAAGGATTTTTGCAACTATTGTGATTTGGAAGGCCTGTGCTGTAAAAGAACAGATGTAAATCAGTACTAGCTCTTACTAGTCACTAGTACTCTCCAAACCCTATTTATATAGATAGCAGCTGCCACTGTGGCATTTTCCTACCACGACCCATAGCAACAACATGTAATGGAATATTGGTGGGAAGCTTCAACCTCTACTGCTGTACCACCAGCATCTGTCTCTGACATCATGGGCCAACATCATAAAACAGGAGGCATTAGTTTCAGAGCAGCCCTTGTAAAATATGTAATAAACATTCTAATTTTTAATATGTTCCTTAAAGTGTTAAAAAAGAAGAACAAAGAGAAAAAACGAGTGAGATGTTTTACCTTGTTTTTTGAGTTGGACATGCCTGCCTTAACCACTCTGCTGGCTGGAGTCTGATTTTATCCATGAAGATGTTTGCTGGCAGGGACAAGATAAAATTGCTAAGTCCCTTTCTACGTGACTAAGCCCAGTCTGAGGTCTCTGATTGCTATTTAGTAATAGTTTTCCTGAGGAACACTGCAAATATCACTAGTTGGTATATAATTTTCAAGTTAAGTATGACTTGAGTGAGACTTCGGTTCCCTTTCCAGCTGATATGTTTGCAAATGAAGAGGGAGGACCAGAGCCTGACTGGGTGACCACAGAGCGTGAGCAGTTTGCAGATTTCCGTGACCTCAACAAGGATGGAAAGATGGACAAAGAGGAGATTCAGCACTGGATTCTCCCACAGGACTACGATCATGCACTTGCTGAAGCCAGGCATTTGGTCTATGAATCAGATGTCGATAAGGTACGCAGAGTTCCAATGTATTTTAGGAAAAACTAAGGGTTGGGGTTTTCTTGTTTGGTTGTTGTTGGGTTGGTTCTTTTTAAACATAGAGTCAGATAGCAAGAGGTGATTCCTGGTAACTGTCGTACCAGTGCTCTGTGCTTAAAGTTTTAGAGGCTAGATACTACCTAGGAGGTGTTTCTGTAATCAGATACACATTCACTTCATTTAACATGAGAGACTAGTGGTTCTGTGGATCCCAGATGGTGATCATCTGAGGTGTAATGCCAGCAAAGTTAGAGCCTGAAAAACCCAGACTCTTACACAGAGCAGCTTAAATTTCTAACAAGCAACCGTCTTGAACCAAATACACAGAGGATTTTTATTGTTAGGAAGGCAAAACCAAACCACGTGAAAAGCTACGTACCAGGTAACTCAGACTGTTTGGTAGTGAGTTAATTACAAGTTAGTTTCAATTAGCAGTTGACCCAACTGAAGCCAGAGGGACTTCAGTGGGGTCGAAAAGCTCACTTACAATGCAATGACTCCTGAATCTTAAGACTGGTTTCTTTGAAGAACTTTCTGTGTCCCTGGGCTCTAATAAGTCTGTGTGGTATGTTATACTTAGCTTTAAAAATGTCCTTAAAGAGGTTTTCTTTTCTTCCCACCAGGATCAAAAACTAACAAAAGAGGAGGTTTTAGACAACTGGAATATGTTTGTTGGAAGTCAAGCTACTAATTATGGGGAAGACCTCACAAGAAACCATGATGAACTATGATATAAGTATACCAAGCAGCATGCCACAGGCCTTTTCTCCATTTTACTAAATCTACCACGTCCATCCCCTGTTTGGGGAGGATGGACAAGGGACACACTCAAAACTGAATGACTTGCATATATTTTTAACATGGCAGTTTATTACCTCAGAAACTACGTAGAAATAGGGTTGTTTTCTTTTTAACTTTCTTCACAAGGTTAAATGCTATATCTAATTATACAGTTCTGTTTTGGGGAAAAAATGGTAATGTTTCTTAGTAGGTTAGATCTGGGAAAGGCACTTAAAACATAACTCCAAGGATCTTCAATAATAACAGGTTTTCTTCAAATGCCCATTTTTATCATAGTAAAATGCAGCTACGATTAGTAAGAAAGAAACCTACTTTTTCAGTAGTCTAAGTTGTTTAGACATCATTTCTAATAGTGTTTGAAATCATAGAATGCCTTAAGTTGGAAGGGACCTTGAAGATCATCTAGCTCTTAATTCCCTGCTGTGGGCTGATTGCCACCCACCAGATAAGGCTGCCCAGGGCCCTATCCAGCCTAGTCTTGAATGCCTCCAGCGATCAGGCACCCAGAACTTGTCTGTTCTTACAGTTTCACCCTCCTGTACACCCTCCTCCACAACCTTTTTGTCCATGCTGCATTTTTCTCTCTAAGTTGGGCTGAAGAAGATACCAGCAGACCCATGGGTCATAGCTTCACAAGTGCATCACGTGCAATTGGCCCTTCTCTCTAAGTCCCACTGCAGTGCAGAAGCAACACGTGGCCCAACAGCCATGCTGGCATTCCTCAGCAAGGGTTGTGGAGTTCAGATTGACAGCTGTTCCTTCTGACAACAGAATAATGTACATTGTTTGTGGGCTGTTAGTTATGCTGTTTCCTGGAAGGAATTATGCCACATGGAGCATAATTTATCTCACGCTTTTCACGCTTTACCCAAGCCATGCTCTTGTTCACACAGTGTGAATGGCAGCAGCTCCGTGATGGAGAAAGAATGAGACATATCACCCCTCTGGGCCTTCTGTTTTCTGTACTACAGACACGGACAGATTCATGTGGCTGAAGTTCTGGTTTGTATGTATGTACGTATAAATAAGTGTTACTGAAGCAACTACATGGAGACAGCTTTCCTTCCAAAGAAAGGAATGAGCTTTCCACACAGGTGCTTTCTTTTTTTACTGTATAATGTGAGCAGTAACATGTATATTTTTATATACCTAACTCCAATAAGTTTGGTTGGTTTAAAATATATTATTTTTAAAACAAGCACAGTAAAACCATAACTTTTTGATACTATGAAGGTGCAATAACACTAATACAGACAGACTAGCATAGAGAGATGATGTGATGCTTCTTATGCCAACAGTTCAGCCTGCAGCACTGGCTGGTCATCTACAAACAGCAGCTGGATGTATGGCACCAACTTTTTCTTCTTTGCATCATTAAAAAAAGCTAGAAATAAGTGTATAGTTTTAGTATTGCTAGAACCTGTTCTGAATGCTAAGGTCACATAAGAACAGTGCTAAATACTTTCAGTTGAAGATAGCTCTCTATTACACACACTGGCAGGGATTACTTGCCTTTGCTAGCTTTATTATTAAGCTTTTAGCATGCACCTACAACACTGCCTGCAAGGTCTCCTAAAAGTCCCTACCTCTTCTGCTAACATAGAGTAGGACAGATGTCATAAGACATAAACGGTTTTTGCTCTCCCAGTAATTCCATGTCAAAGTAATGCCTAAATGCAGTGTTACCTGAGAAGCAATAAAATTGTATCTTGGCACACATAAAAAAAAAATATCTGTATGGTTTATTATTTGGGTTTGGAAAGGTTTGCTGTATTGAATAGTCCTAACAATCTTGATAATTGCTGTTTTCTAGCAGCCCTTTCATACTAAAGTTTGAGATTTTTATATTTTAGTACAGAGATTTTATATTTTAGTCCAGAATTGCTGTGCTCTCTGCACTTGGATCATCTTCTGCTGTTTCAGGAAACAATACCTTAAGAGACCACAGTAAAAAAGCTTGTATCCTGCTACTGAAACTGCAGCTCAGACTAGATAGGAAGCCAAGGGTTTTCACTGGAGCCCAAGGGAAGGTTGTTTGGTAACTCTTGTTGAAATTCAGTGGGAGCTGGGTGCTGAGACGCTAGGCATCATTGCCTGCAGCTAAACATATAACACTTCCAAATCCACTGCATTCTGCCCCAACAAAAAAAACTGCATCTGAGCTTTGACAAACAATCACATTTTCTTCTACATTACTCAATGAATTTGGAATAAAATTAGCATCAAATGAGAGATTATATTCCTTTATTTGTTCTCAATTTCTATTAATGCTTGGGCTACACTGGGTATTTTCCAGTATGAAATAATGCAAGAAGAGTGGTACTCAGAATATGCCCAGCTACGATTAAGGCAAACATGCCAGTTAAAATGAAATTCAAGCCAATCAAGTTATCAATCATTCTAAGTATAATGGAGTCACACTAAGAGCATTTTTATAAAACAGAATACAAAAACATATTTTAGAGAACATATCATTGATGTGATTTCATTCTAAAGGCAACCTCCTTCCATAGCTCTTAGTGTTTCACTTACCAACCTTCAGCAATGCGCAGTATATTTTGTGCACTAAATCTTCCTTTCAAGCTCAATGCACTGTGGAAGAGTAACTCCAAAAGAGACTAGAGCTTCTGGGTTTAAATTTAACACTATTTAAGGAAAGCAAACCTTTGCTAGGGGATATAACTGTTAGCATTGTGATTTTTCAAGCCTAAGGTTTCTAATAGGGTTTGACTGTTCCAGAGATAAGATTTTTTTTTCCTAGGTAACATATTTCAAGTCATATTATGAGCAAATGTTACAAAATTTTAGTGTAATGTGAAATACTGTAATGTCAGATAGCATTATTTATCTGCTTAATATGACTAAACCCATTAATTGCTGGGAGCCATGCTTCATCCCAGCAACATGAAAATTCATTTTGTGCCTATCTTGTCAGTTATTGCCAATTTTCTTAATGAATAGTGACGTAGTGAAATTCTGTCGGGAAATGTGTTTATGTATTTCCAGCTGCAGGTTCTGTGTGCTAACTTCCTGTTACACAGATCCTCCATTACCTACATGTTTTCATTATGCCTATGCCACACCATATCAAAGGTGCATTTTTCCTCCTTATGTATCTGGAAAGCCATTATTATTGCACATGCAGTTTTAATTATTAGAATTTATGGAATGAACTAAGTGGCTAATGTGCATTGTCTTATATTTCCATTCAATGATTCAATCGAGTTAAATCTGTCTCCCATTCCAATCGAGGTACTTTACATAACTCCCTGTGGAATGGAGAATGCAGCTCATCCTTATCCTATTACTTTTACACAGGTATCTTAAAATAGTCGCATAATGATTTACTGTCACAATACAGAAGTCAGTCTGGATCCCAGTGAACTTAACAGCAGAACCCCTTGACCCCTGTGCAGAGGGACAAAGGCCTCGGCCACATAAAAGCAAGCACAGATACAATGGGGTGGATGGTGGGACTTGAGGTTCCAAGAAATTTGATGACCATCAGCTCCCAATCCCCATCTTACTACTGAACAATAATGCTAGGATTTTAGGTTGATTCATTCTCATGTAAGGTATTCAGGGCATAAGCCTGTTTCAAGGAGGACAATGTCTAATGATCTGTTCAAATACATTTATCCCTTCTATTGAGTGATGATATCTCTCTTAGACAGCTGATTACCATTAGCATATGTGACCATTGGCACATGTAGCTTGTTTTGCAGGGTGGCAGAAGAGGCCACATGAAACATTTCAAAGCCAAAGATGTTGCAAAGCCTGGCATGGTCCGTAGTCAAATACTTGGAACTAATAAGCCATACCTGTCTCTAATTTAGGATGCTATGTTCCGTTTAATATGCCCAGCAAGGAACACAAACCAAAGTTACTAAGATTCAAAGAAATAAAATTAGGTTCACATTTAATTTACAGGTACTAACGAGGCCCTTCACATCCAAGTGCTGTGTAGATCCCAAACCTGATGATTTTCAAAGCAGAAGAGAAAGGAAAGGTACCAGCTTTCCCATAGTGTGCAGGTATATAAGGGACTTAGATGCACGTGACACAGCAAAGGCAGCTTCCCAGCTGCATTCTGTCTCTTCATAGAATGAGATAAAATTTCTTTCCCAGACAGGAGCAATTCCTCACTATGTCTGCCACAAGAGTACAGCAATCATCAGGTATGTCTATTACTATTCCTGTTGACAACTGATGGATTTCTGTCTTCAGAACAAACGTTGGCTGTGCTTATGGCAGCAAAGTTCTGCAGCTCAGTTTCATCTACTGCACATTTATCATTTTCCTTGCCCAAACTAGCATTAGCACTTTCTATATAAGGAAGATGCTCAAGATTGTGTCTACCAGTGTAAGAATTTATCATAAAGCATCCAAATACCTGGGCAGCTAGCATTTGCAGTTTTATAATTTAAGAGTTGGCCTCACATTTGTAGTATGTGAAACCACCACATACCTGAACAGCTATATAGAGCAAGTTATGCCATGATACTAAGTCTCTATGGTAATTAAGGGTGACACATATGTTAGAAGTGACAGTGTTTCATCATATCAACAAAAATTTAGTTATGCATCAAGACACTTCCACAGTTCAGTGGGAAATAACTTTTTTTTTTTTTATATGGGAGTAGCCAGGCAGTCTTCAAAATGACAGTCCATGGGACCAAGGAAGGTACAAAAACTGGTGGAAAATGATACATACAGCTTTTGAAAACATACCTTAAAACCCTCAGTGAGACTAAGGATTGATGTTACAAAAACATGAGTTGATAACCTTATAGCACACGCCACATTCTCAAAATCCAGTACAGGAGTGCCCAAGGTAAGCCATCCTCAAAGATGCTGCACTGATAACCAGTGTATGGCCAAGGTTTAGGTAAAACAGAGTGTTACTCAACAGCCCACTCCAGCGTGCATTGCTTTCTCCCTGCTAAGGCCACAGATGGATTCTGAGGAAGCTTGACATCAGCTCTGAAATTGGATACAGCAAAGTATAGTTTAGTGGAAGAAACTAGAGGTAGTAGCATTCTACTCATCTGTATTCATAAACAAAAAGATTACCATTAGGATTATAGAACACTTACGGGGAAATCTGAAAAGATATAATAAACAAAGCTGGTAAAACCAAGAACACTGAGAAAGAACATGTTGAAATACTGCCTTTAAAATCTACTTTCTTCAAGTGGAAACAAAACATTTTAAAAAGACAATAATGCTCTAAAAGCTATTTAATTTACCAGCCAAATTGAACTGACCAAAATCTGATTTCTTCCTTGTCTTGTTTAGCAGATGCTTAAAAGATCAATACAGTTGTCTCTGTAGATCGGCATGAAATATTAACGGGTCTGAACATTCTGAAGCTTTTTACAACATATTCAGCCTCATTAAACATTAAGCAGGCTTGAAATATAAACATAAAGTAACTATCAGCTTCCTATCCTTCATAGGCAGAACAAAGGTAGTTCAAAAGTGGGAAGCAGGAAGAAAGCTATTACATGAATTGGGAATTCAGAGAGAAGTTAACGTAGGAAAGCTGTCAGTATAAATAGACTCAATCAGATAAATTTTACCATAAGGAAAAATAATATTCTTCTGTCTCATAGACTGCAATATGTGCTAAGGAGCAAAGAACTGTAGTATTTACAGCACGAGGAATTCATAAAAATACACCTCTGGCCACAAAAGTACCCATCTGAGGCCCAACCCTCATTTACACTACAGCACCTTTCACCCTTCACATTTGCTATTAGACCTCCGACTCCATGGGTTCAGTGAGAAGGAACCTTGCTCTCTTTGCCCTGCTTTTCATGACTGGCTGGGCAATACAGGAGAGAGGAGTTTCAGGTTCACTAAAGGGAGATGTCAGCTTTGCAAATCACTGGAAGTAACCGGACATAAACTGTCAAAATAAGTCAGCAAAACGGTGTGGTTATTGTCAGTACGTAACTCAAGTCTGCAAGCCAAACTGTGGCTGAAGATTACAGACAACACAGCGAGATGGCTGTGCCATGATGTGCAGATCAACTCGTTTACCTACAAATGCTGTTCTATTTTAATACCTTTTTCTCCCATTTGCCTGCTTGCCTTATCGTTACTGCAGACATCATTAAGAATAAAATTCAACCACACGCTGTGTTGCCTTTACCACTGCAGATACTGGCAGGGTTTATGGAGAAGCTTTTTAGGTAGCTTTCTCGCTGTATTTCTTCTAGTATTGCCTAGACGTAAAGGCATCAGATCAGACATACTAGGGTTAGAATTCTCTACAGCCTCCGCTCAGTTTGGGAAGATGGTAACAGCAAGAAGAGAAACTGTGTAGAATTCATTCCTCGTCAGACATACTAGATTTTCCAAAAAGTACACCAAACTATTAAGCTGGCACTATTAAGCTCTCTCACACAACGATGACAGTAGGAATACCATCCAGCAGTCATCATTTCTTACGGTTTCTCCAAATTCAGTTACACCCAGAGACAAATCAAGTAGGTATTTTTAAAATTCTGCAACTTAAGCGAGATACCAGTGGGCTTAAATGAGTATCAAACAGTTAAGAAATGATACTCAAACAGCATTGAGCTATTTATGCTACATTTTTGCTGAATAGAACTGAAAATAGACTTCTGCATTTCACCGCGTTGCACCATACTGCTGTACTTACTTTACCTATAAGCATTCTGTTAATAGGTATTGAGCAGCAACAAATCAAGTGTTCTACATT